TATGCAATTTATCTCGTCTTGTTAATTGTTAGGAGTATATATAACATTTTTTGTTTCCTAAGCTAACGCAAGGCCAAGAAAGTACAAGGAATACCCGTATTCGCTTAATTTTGTCATTGCTTTCCCTCGTGTGCATGGCACATGATACTTTAAAAATGACAATATCCTGAATTGTTTTTTTTTATTTTTCCTTTTTCAGGCGAGCCATGGATGGTGACAAGAGTTGAAGCATGCCAGCGAGATGTCGATTGCGTGATTCATTGTCTGAGGGGCATGTTGGCACTCTGCGATACGGTGAATCACAAATGTTTGTGCCTCAGAAGCGTATTAACTAGTTCCTCTAATGACAATGTTGAAATCCCTAATTAGTTGGTGTGCAAAATCAACCTTCTGATATTGTCTCGCATCAATCGAATCATCAATAAATTTGTTTGATCATATGAGCTTGCATAGGTCCTTACATTGCTTTAATTTTTCAACCTTCCTAAATAACTTTAATTGGAAGATGCTTTATATGATCCGAGATCTCCGTATTTCGGCAATACCTAAAAAAACAATGAATGGGGATGCTGAAATGTGAATCGCTACTTGGGCTCCGTTCGTTTAGCGGAAAATATTCTCCTTTTGGAAAATATTTTCCTGGAAGTCATTTTTCTGGAAAATGTTTTCCCGGAACATAATTTTCCGGTGTTCGGCGATCAATATGAAAAAGTTTCGGAAAATATATTTCGCCGACGGCCGGTGGCGGCGTCCGGCGGCGGGCTGCGGCGTCCGGCGGCGGCGGCGGCGGCGGTCGGCGATCGATGGCCAACGTCCGCGCGTCCGGCGGCGGCGGCATGCGACCGGCGGCGGCGGCGCGGCGGCGGCGGCGGCGGCAGGCGACCGGGCGACGACGGGCGACGCGGCGGCGGCCGGCGACCTTAGTGAAGAAGAAGAAGAAGAAGCTCCGAAAAATGATTTCCGCTTTTGAAGAAGCGGAAGTCATTTTCCCTAGACTTAGGCTATTTTGTGAGGGGGGAAGGAAAATATTTTCCCACGGAAAACGTTTTCCGCCCCCCAAACACCGGAAAACCCGAAAAATATTTTTCGGGAGAATATTTTCCGCCAAACGAACGGAGCCTTGGTTTGACTTTTGCTCAAAAAGGGAAACAGGGATTTCCTGATGCTGTCATCATAATATAATCCTTTATGATGACCACATCATGCGCAGAACCAATCGCTTTATTTTTTTAAGCGATATTTTCCTCTTCTTCAACTTTTCGATTTTTCGATTCAGGCCCTTTGACTTAGTATTTTAATTTGTTGTATTAATTTCTTAATGAGATTAAATTTCATCAAAAAATCGAAGGCTTCGGAATTTTAAAAAAGAAATGAAATTGAGAAAGAGCCTCAAGAAATCATATACTTTTAATCGCAATTCGACAATTTTTTGGGAAATGAGCGATGACCACTTAGCAGTGATATGACTTATTGAAAATTGTTTATTACGATCTCAAAGATCCAAGATCGAGCAAGGAACGTGACTAATTGCACCTTGGGCTGGGAAGAATAAGAGATTTACAAGACCGTATTTGCTTAATAAGGCTATTAAACATAAATAATTAACTAATGTGTTAATAATTAATCTCTTGCCCATAGATCGATGCTACTTAGCATTTTCTTTATTTTTAAATGACCAATATCGAAAAAAATAGGAACTTGAAACACCAAATTCCAAATGCTATAAAAGAAGGATTACACGTATTGAGGATTCTCCAGTTGCTGCGACGGAAGACTCAGAAAACAGCCACGAGGTCGAGTTCGAATGGAAAGAGCAAGAGCACAGTGATAGCGAATGGGATAGAGAGGGAGGCGAAGTTAGGGTGTGAATGAAGCGAAATGGTGTCGGACACTATGAAGGAGCAGTGGTACAAAGGGAGGAAGTTGCAAAAGACGGAAGCTGAAGCCGCCGCAACTGCGTACGTCGTTCTCCGGAAATTCTATCAATGAGGAGAATAGGCTTGCAAGAATGAAGATGGGCTAGGCCTATTTACCTTTAAAGTTACTCTTTTGGTTATATGGGCTGAAAGTGGGTTTCTGAACAGACCATTTAGACCCTTTTATTTTGAACTTTTCTTTTTAGAACACATTATGATCTATATGCCAAATTTGAGCTAACCAAGTGGCACTCACTTTTTTTTTTTCGTCAAAAAGTGCACCCACTTTAATTGAGTTAAAACATGGGTTGGTGACCCATTTGACTGCCCTACTTGTAAGGAAGTTGTGGTTCTTGTAATAAAGTATTGCGCTCAAAGAAAGCTATACAAAATCTTCACATGAACTCTCTTGTCCTTGTCTTGGGCAGATAGTAAATTCATGCAGGAATAACGCCGGGTCTATCTATACCAATTAAAATGCTAGGCCAATCCTTTTACCAACCAAACCTACTTGTCATCCTTACATTATCCAGCTATTGAATGGTTTATTAACTCGCGATTTATGATTTCGGCAGTAACACTTGCTTTCTTAGTCTAAATTAGTTTGACAGCAGAGGTAGGATATGAACAATTTGTTCCCTTTGCCATTAATTTAATGATCCTTCACGGCAAAAAGACACTATTAGTATCATAACTTGTGTACGGAGATCACTTTGGTACCATAACTTTTTTTCGGATCACTTTGGTACCAACTTTTTTGAAGAACGATCACTTTAGTGCCAATGCTGACATGGCTTGCCGGAAATCCTACGTGGCGTTGACATGGCTCGCCGGAGAGGTCCAGTCAGCATTAAAAACAAAAAACGACGCCGTTTAGTCCGCTGATGTGTACTTTTTTAGAAAAATAAAATTTATATTATATTTATTTATATTAAAAAAAAATCAAACATTGCCACCACACCACCGCCGGGAAGGGCCGGCGGTGGTGGGCAGAGTGGTCGACAAGGGTTGTTGGCCCCTGGCCGGGGCCCAGCGACCCTCTCGCCAAGAGGAAGCGATCGCCGTTGTGATCCAGGAGATGGTGAGGTCCACCTCGCTAGATTTGGTGAAGCTCGCCCCGCTGGCCATCGGCGAGCTTCGCCGGATCTGGCGAGGCCGACCTCGCCGTCGCCTGGGTCACGACGGCGAGGTCTCGCCTCGCCCAGCAAAGGTGAGGCCGACCTCCCGCCGGCCGCCGGCGAACTTCGCCCAGATCTGGCGAGGCCGACCTCGCCGTCGCCTCGACCCAGGCGACGGCGAGGTCGGCCTCGCCTTTGCCGGGCAAGGGGAGACCTCGCCGTCGCGACCCAAGCGACGGCGAGGTCGGCCTCGCCTTTGCTGGGCGAGGCAACCTCGCTCAACCAGGGGCCGGCGAGGCTCACCCTCGCCGGTGGCCAGCGGGGCGAGCTTCGCCAGAGGCCGGCGAGGTCGGCCTCGCCGTCCCTCCCCTCTGGCCGGTCGCTGGACCGGCGATCATGAAAAAGTTAGGAAAAAAAAAATTAAAAATTCGAAAAAAAGCCACATAATTTTCACGTGTACAAGTCAGACCATTTTTTTAAAAATATAAATGCCACATCAGCTTTTTGGCCGGAGTCACTAAAGTGATCTATTTTTCTCCGATTTGGCACCAAAGTGATCCGAAAAAAAGTTATGGCACCAAAATGATCTCCGTACACAACTTATGGCACTTCTGGTGTCTTTTTGCCGATCCTTCACAGTAAGCACAATCACTACTCAGGTAAACCATTGCTCTACCAAAGGGGGTATACTAATGAACCTGAATGTTGAAACTTGCTTTCTTATGTAATATACTTCATTCTTGGCTGATGATGGATTATTAAAGTCGAGACCAAACCATATTTGCTACAGAAAGTAAGGCTTCTTCTAATCGCAACCGATGTGGACATCATAAAGGTTGCATCACGAGATTAGTATCTGTTTAAGAGTTAACCATGCTAGCTTTGGCTTTTTCCTGCACTGCCCCCATTTACTTTTGTTTAGCATCCGGGGCTTCCCATTAAATGATTGGACTGAGTAGGAATCTCTCGCTAATTGAGTAGGAAGATCACGGTAGTTTTACGACTCGATCATCCATCGGATATTTTGGTCAAATTTGGTTTAGCAACACCAATATCAAAAACTCCATTTCTGATGTGCTGGTTACCTTGGGGCTTCATTCGCACGCTTTGTTCAACATATCTGTCCCCCATCCTGACTCCCAACTGTATAATCATGAATGATAAAAGGTCAAACTTATTCTAATAGATAAAACCCATTATTATAATCTTATCCTATACTTTTTGTCTACTTAACGAAGTAATGTTTTAAATGTTGAGATTAATGCAAACCGATATCATAAGTCTCTCCCATTCCATTTAAAATTTCAAGTTTTTTTTTTTTTGATAACCGAGGTATCCCACGTGCAATGGACTATTCCTCGGGGTGGTGGGGTACAAGACCAATGCCACCGGGTAAGCCCCCAAAATGTGATCGGTGGGAGTTGAACCTGGGAGCTCATCAGTTTTACTGTCTGAGACCAGGAACTCTCAACTACTCGACCAATCACCCCATTGGTAAAAAAGGAAGTTTTCTTTGTGGGAATTTCCGAAAAATATCAATAAACTTTTCCTCTTTATTTTTAACACATTCATAACATAAATCTTTTCACTATGAAAAATCTAGACAACCTCTCCATCAATAATTGAATTGAAACTTTTAGTTTCTTACTCGCCCGATGCATATTTTCCATTATTATTGCATACATGGCCAATTCGAACAGAATTTATGAAAGATAATCAGTAGAATCTGCCAGAAGTATGCTACGAAAATATTTCAATAATGAAATTACCAAAGGTGTAAAATAGGAATAATAATCACCAGAATCTGCCATAAGTATGTCACGAAGGTGCCAAAGGTGTAAGATAGAAACGTGAACATACAATTTAGTAACAATAATCACTAGATCATGCTAGAAATATGTCACCAAGGTATCTCATTGATGAAATTACCAAAGGTGTAAGAGAAAAATCTCAACATACCATTATCCATCAAATGCATTTAACGGCACAAAAGACATTTGGAGTGTATAAATAGTGAATAGTAGTGGACATAAACTTCATTGCATAGCACTCTCTGGTTTAGCTTACCCAAACCATCGACCATTCATCACTCTATAAAGACCTAAACCCAAAGAAATCATGAAGCAAGCCTCCAAGTTGATGTTGGTCTTTCTCTTGGCAACTCTAATGTGTAATACTCTCTCTCTCTCTCTCTCTCTCTCTCTCTCTCTCTCTCTCTCAATTATGAAACCCTAGCATGATTTTCTTATGTATTTATGCAATTTATCTCGTCTTGTTAATTGTTAGGAGGATATATAAAATTTTTTGTTTCCTAAGCTAACACAAGGCCAAGAAAGTAGAAGGAATATCCTTATTTGCTTAATTTTGTAATTGCTTTCCCTCGTGTGCATGGCACATGATACTTTAAAAATGATAATATCCTGAATTGTTTTTTTATTTTTCTTTTTTCAGGCGAGCCATGGATGGTGACAAGAGTTGAAGCATGCCAGCGAGATGTCGATTGTGTGTTTCAATGTCCGAGGGGCAAGTTGGCACTCTGTGATGAGAGGAATCACAAATGTTCGTGCGTTGGAAGCGTTTCAACTAGTTCCTCTAATGTCAATGTCGAAATCCCTAATTAGTTGGTGTGTGGAATCAACTCTTGTTGATGTCTCTCAATAATCGAATCATCAATAAATTTGTCTAATCGTATGAGCTTGCATAGGTCGTTATATTGCTTTTAATTTTTTGACCTTCCTAAATAACTTTAATTGGAAGATGCGTCATATGATCCGAGATCTCCCTATTTTGACAATACCTAAAAAATAAAGAATGGGGGATGCTGAAATATGAATCGCTACTTGGTTTGATTTTTGCTAAAAAAGGGAAACAAGGATGTCCAAATGCTATCGTCATAATATAATCCTATATGATGACCACATCAAGCGCAGAGCCAATCATCTGATTTTTTTAAGCGATATTTTCCTCTTCTTCTTCTTTTCCGATTTTTCGATTCAAGACCTTTGACTTAGTTTTTTAATTTGTTGTATTAATTTCTTAATGAGATTAAATTTCATCAAAAAATCAAAGCATTGGAGTTTTTAATAAGAAAACGAAATTAAGAAAGAGCCTTAAGAAATCATATACTTTTAATCGCAATTCGACAATTTTTCGGGAAATGCATATGTGATGACCACTCAGCAGTGATACAACTTATTGAAAATTGTTTATAACTATCGTAGAGATCCTAGATCGAGCAAGTAACTTGACTAATTGCACCTCGGGCTGGGAAGAATAAGAGATTTACAAGACCCTATTGCTTAATAAGGCTATTAAACTGAACTAATAAACTAATTCATTAATAATTAATCTCTTGCACAGAGATGGACGCTACGGAGCATTTTCTTTATTTTTAAATAACCAATATAGAAAAATATAGGAACTTGAGATGTCACGCCCCGAACCCTACGAAGCGCGAGCATCCCACCTTAGGTCGATTATGATGCGACGTCCCAGGAAGCGTCGCCGACCCACGTTCAGAACAGGCAGAGATCAAACACATGCGGAAGCAATACATAACAAACCCTAACTAATATAAAATACGAGCCAAGGATAGCCAAGCAATAAACAACGATCAATGCAGAAAATATGTACATACTTATATTACTATTTTAAAACTCTTTTTACAGTGTTCACCACAACCAAAACGGAAACACCAACAGCTGGGAATAACCAAATAGCCACTTCTCCGTTCTGCTCCGTCCCCACCGGGGTGTATGCTCGACGACCGCTGGATAAAATGCGGTATTCCAAAAAGAGGTGGTGACCTCGGCATCCTACTGTTGGGGGTCTGAAAAGTTTCGGTTTACACAACCGTGAGACGAATCTCAGTAAGTTCAACCCCTAAACCTAGGCTAGGCTAGCATGCAATCTTCTGACCGGAAACAAATACTTAAAACAATAACACAACAACAATCGAATAGCTCTCTGACCCTGCAAGTTAAACAGTTCAATATATAATAATCACGGCACATACGTGGCACACCTAGTCACACGTACGCCAATCACATGCTCATGCACCGAGTCTCACACACTCGCATGCCAGTCCATGCATGTTCATGCATGCAAATGTCGTCGACATGTCACGTTCATTTCCCGGCCCACTGGCCCACCCTGGCACACTGGCAATTGCCCAATTTATTATTCATTACGACTCGAGTCGACAATATTCACGGCCCGGTGCGTCTAGCCTGCTTCAAAGTGCATGAGGCGCAGCAACTGATCTGGCCCAGTGTCTCTAGCCTGCTTCAAAGTGCATGAGGCACAACACTGATCTCCTTACGAACCAGAGCCTGCTTCAAAGTGCATGAGGATGGTCGTCTTCCGGACGTACCAGGCATCGTCCTGCTTCAAAGTGCATGAGGACGGCATCGACCCGAAGGCCCTTAGGTGATCACACAACCCATTATTATCTGAACCCCGCGTAACACGCATCAGGGTATTTTAGGTGATCACATGCTCATGACAGGCACACAGTCTCACACAATTTCATCACAAGCCTCATTCTCGGCATTCATAATGCATGCCATGAAATGCAACATGAGCATCCACATAACATAGGCACAGGCACACAGTTCAATCAAAGTCATTCCACAGTGCTTAATTCACAAGCCACGTGCTTACTTGGCCTATTAATACCGTGCGGCCTAATTCCAAATACACAATTCAAGCCATCAATTGGCCAATCACACTCCGCACGATTCAGCCACACAAGCACGCAATATAGCATTTCGCAATTAAACACAATTGATCACCAATCAATCAATAGCCAATCATTCTGGGTAATCCCGGCCATTCAGCTAATAATTCTTGCTATCCATTATAATCCGGTACATTCCTCAAAAACATGGACAGCCGCTATTTCCTCAATCCGGGCCCAATAATTGTCCATAACAATCCCACTAAATTCCTCGGATTTTATTTCCACTAATCAGTCCTCAATCCAGTCTAAAATACACACTGATACTATCTAAGCGAGTCCAAAATGTACCGATAATACCTAAACCAGTCCAGAAAAACGCACTAACAGTCCTAATCCGGGTTTAGGAATTTTACTCACTTAATCCGAGGTCACGACGACGTGGAACGGCGGCCGATCACTGGTGAACAGTGAAACCTGTCACGCCGCGAACCCTACGGACACGAAACATCCCGCTATGGTCGATATGATGCGACGACCCAGGACTCGTCGCCAACCCTTTTTTTTTAATCTTTTAGTACGCATGCGGAAGTGAACACAACAATTTCTGGACAACAATAATAAACAGGGATAGTAGAGGAAAACTAGACATAACAAAAGCCATTTTAATAATCACTTGATTAACCCCTGGGAACATACTTATAGGCCCACTCCGGGCGTTTTCACAAAAGCCAGCAAAAGACAAAGGTTAGGGTTAATCTACTCCATCCAAAAGATCGGCTTCCAGGCCTAACCCTCAAGGACCAACCAAAAACTGCAATACTCCAAACCGCATAGGAAGCAACGACAAGCTAAGGTCCTGAAAAAGGTTTAATAACAACAAATGAGATAAAATCTCAATAAGTTAATGGCCTAAGCCTCGCTTAGGAGGCCAACTCTTACGGGGGTCCCTAAACAGGCGAAACGGCAACAACAACATCATTAACAACCACAGGCATCCTCACTTCGCCTTGGTACACACGTTGATGAAATGCATATGTGACATACTCAAAGCATTTAACGAGATTTTCCATGCATTAATGCAACACAGTCGCGCATGTCTCGATTATAAGGCAAAACCCGTTTGGGCACGTCCCATACCATGCCTAGCAGTTTCTACCCCATAATCAAGTACTATGCATCACACGTATTCCAATTATCACGCCCCCTCGGGGCCACCACACATCAAGCGATACGCAGCAAGATGGCGGTCTACCGGTAAAAACCGGGCTCCGTCCCGCCTCGTCGGGCACGGCTACGTCAAACGATACACAGGATGACGGCATTCCAATACGGCAACATCAAACGATACACAGTAAGATGGTATCCCGTAAGGAACATCAAGTCCGGCCTCGGGCCGCGACAAGGCATCCGGGGTATCGGCACTCCAGATTATCCCCAGGCATCCGATAAATCGGGCAACGTCAAGCGATACACAGCAAGACGGCTTTAACGTGTGACCACACGAGCACACAAGCATACCGGCCAATTATTATCTTTTCAATTAGCCCATGCGTCCATGAATAGTGCTCACACAATGCTGCATAACAAACCAAGTGGTCACACATGCAAACAGTCAATCAATTCCTGCAAACTTCGATGCCAAACATGTTTATCAACCACAAAGCATCACTGTCATTCTTGGCATACCCACAAAAATAATTTAATTCCAAAAATCCCATAAATTTTCGCTGCAAACTTCCATTCTAAACAATTAGTCATCTAATCAATTTAATACAACAATTCACGCCATAATCGTCACCATACAAACTGGAAATCATAATTTGAGATTAAAGATTTTCCGAAATAATAATAAATAAATTCGGAATTTAATCATTTAATAATATCCAAGAATAATTTAATTTTCCAAAATTCAAAATACTTTCTCGAATCAAAATCATTCAAACCGTTTTCCAAATACGCCAACTTATACGGCGAAATCCAACATTGGCATCACAATTTGACGTTAGAAATTTTCCGAAAATAATAATATTTAATTTTCGGAAATTAATTATTTAATAATAAAATATTAATATTTAATCCGAAAATAATAAAATAATATTTAATTCCGAAAATATTACTATCTAATAAAATAATCAACAATCATAATATAATTGATAACCTATCACCACATTCGCGATAACTTATCGCAATCCAACAATAGTCTATTGAACTATTACCGATAACCCATCGCCTAATTCTAATTAACTAAACATAATCTTAATTAAACTTAATCTAAACTACCCTAAGCAAGTTTAACACCCTAAACACGGGGATTAGGGGTTAACTTACTCGGCTAACGCCGGCGACCACGCGAGGACGACGGCGGCGACGAGGGCGGTCCGCGGTGTCCTCGGAATGCTCCGATGAGCGATGAATGGGCGTGGCGAGGGGAGACAGCTCCTGTAGTGGCTGGTCGGGGCTGCTCGGGGCTGGTTCTGGCGTGGCCTAGGGCTGTTCCCGGCGGAGCTGGCGGCTTGGATGGCGGCGAACGGTCGCTGGTCTGACGGGCGGAGGCGACGACGCACGGCGGCAACGGGATGCCGTACGCACGCGACGGAAAGGGAGAGGGGGAGGAGAGAACAGTCGGTCGGGGAAGGTGGCCGAACGGACGACGCGGCGGCTAGGCAAGCGGCGACGCCAGGCGGACGGTGGTTGGGCTGGTAGCCGGCGAGGACAAGCAGGAAGCAAGCCAGAAGCAAGAGCGTCGGGGGCAAGCCAACGAAGGAGAAGAAGAGAGAAGGAGAAGAAAGGAAAAAGGAAAAAGAAGAAAAAGGAAGAGAGAAAGAGGGTTAGGTGGGGGGTAGGTGGTCTGGTCAGACACGCAAAAAGGGAGGGGGAGACCGGCGGAAAAAGAGGAGAGAGAGAAGTCAAATCGCAATAATCGCGATCTAACGGTCACGATTCGAATCCAAAAACGAACTAACGGTCCCCGAAAAATCCTAATTAATAATATAGGATTTGGCCAAAGGGC